GCCTTTCCTAAACTAAACCAAAGGGAAATTACAAAGATTCCAGCTGATGGAGCAAGAGAAATGATGTAATAAGAAAATTACTTGTGACCATGGTGTGGAGAGTCTCAGAAATGACTGCATTCACACTTCAGCAGGCAGAAAAGAACTTCTTTTGACTCCTTCCACAGCAAGGACCAGGCTGGAGACTAAGTCTAGGCTGTAGAAAAAAACAGGTTTTATTTGTTAATCTATAATAATGGCCAATGCAGCTTACTCCAGCTGATCCGTGCTATTGGGGTACCAGACAAGAGACATAGTGACGTGTAAGGATTTTCTGGTGGGTGTGTTCTAATACCATCTAACTTTGGTGCTACAAGGGAACAGTCAGAGCAGTGAGCCCCACAGGAATGTCTTCAACATGGAGAGGCTTTGTAGGTAGAAGGCACCCAGTACAAGAGGTGTCATGCTGACACGTGCATTGGTGTGAAACCAAAACCTTGGTCAAGATGTCACGTTGGTAAGCTGTGCTGCCTATCATGGTTGAAGCAACTGCTGCTGCTGCATGTGCCACTGCTGCTCCAGCCCCTAAGACACTGTCTAAGAAGCCGGAGAAGGTGTCAGGAGGATCCAAATCCTGCAAGCCCCTGGTCTCCAGGAAGAGCTAGTTATGACTGTTTCCAAGAAGCACAGAAGAAATTTCTCTCACCACTCTGAAAGGGAACTAAAGTCTATGTAGTACAGAAGGACAACAGCTACACCAAGTCAGGGCTCAGGAGCCTGGACAAGGGCAGCACAAGAGGACTTGGTACTTCTAATTCCTTTAAACTCATCAAACTAAGAGGAAAGTGCCAAGAAGGCAGAAAAAAACAGGAACCACCTGACCCTCGACTGGAACTGACAAGAAGCCCAGATTAGCTGTGGCTGTGTAGGAAATCCCAAGGAAAGCCAAGAAACTGGCAGCCATCACGGCCAAGAAAGCAATCAAGACCTTAGAGACTATGAAAACTGACAGACCAAAAAATGCAAAGATCCAAGTAAGGACAAAACATTGAAATCTGAGGCTACCAAACCCAAGGCAGCAAAATCTTCAGTGGCCTCAGGCTGAGAAGGTAATGCACAAGAAGTATATGCTATATGAGCACAGACAAAGTGTCCTGCTTCAGTGACACAGAGTGCAAATCCTGTAATTGAACCACTGGTTTTCATCATGTTTTGCATTTTTAAACACAGTTTCCCCAAGGGAAGATAATTAATTGTAATAATTAAAATTCCTTGTATTATAATATTTAAAATTCCTTGTATTGCCATAAAATTCAGGTTTTGTATGAATAAAATATTTCTTCTTGTTATTTTCTTCAATTGTCTGCAGCAGTATTCTAGGGAAGATGGAGAAAGGGTCTGCTCAGAGGTACACAGGAAAAAGAATAGAGGCAGCAGATTAAAGCTATAACAAAGGAATTTCTAATCTGACATCAGGGAAATATTCATAGAATCATAGATACTTAGAATGGTTTGGGTTGGAGGGGACCTTAAAGACCATCTAGTTCCTGCCCCCCTGCCCCGGGCAGGGCCCCCTTCCCCCAGCCCAGGGTGCTCCCAGCCCCGTCCAACCTGACCTTGAACCCTTCCAGGGAGGGGGCAGCCACAGCTGCTCTGGGCACCCTGGGCCAGCGTTTCAACACCCTCACTGTAAATCATTTCTTCCTTATATCTAATCTAAGGCTACCCTCTTTTGGTTTAAAGCCATTACCTCTTGTCCTATTGTTGCGGAAACTCCCAAACCAATTAACAATAAAAAAGCAAAATTTATTTTTTTTGTACACAATTAATCCACAGTCTGCAAACACACAAACAGCAGGTTCCAATGTCTGTAACAGGAGAACAAACTGTCACCACACAAACGTCTAAGGTTTAACAACAACCCGAAACACCAACCAGGGGTTTAACGACAACCCAAACCGCTCAATCACTCACCTAGTAAAAGGTGAGGGCTCTCAACCTCGAGGAACATCTCAGGGCAGCGTCCCAACCCATAGGAACCCCGAGGAGTCTCTGTGGGCAGCGTCCCAACCCAAGGGGAGAGCCCTTCCCTGCAGCACGCTGCTCCGGGCGGGACGAGCTCCAAATGGCTCCCCCCAGGGACTCCATTGATACCCTCCCCGCGGGTCTCCATCGATACCCTCCCCCCGGGACTCCATTGATACCCTCCCCCCCGGGAATCCATTGATACCCTCCCCCAGGGTCCCCATTGATACCCTCCCCCCAGGACTCCATTGATACCCTCCCCCCCGGGACTCCATTGATACCCTCCCCCAGGGTCTCCATTGATACCCTCCCCCAGGGTCTCCATTGATACCCTCCCCCCGGGTCTCCATTGATACCCTCCCCCCGGGACTCCATTGATACCCAGGCCGAATCTGACCTGTGGTCAATACCAGCCCCAATTGGCCAAAGACCCCAACTGCTGTAAAGCCCTGAGAACAAGGGCACAGGGAAGCTCCAACAGCCAGGGAGCCACAATTACAGTGGGTGGGTGCACCTGCCACACCTCTCACTACACTCCCTGTTAAAGAGTCCCTCCCCGTCTTCCCTGTAGCCCCCTTTAAGTACTGGAAGGCCGCTGTGAGGTCTCCCTGAAGCCTTCTCTTCTCCAGGCTGAACAACCCCAACTCAGTCTGTCCTCATAAGGGAGGTGCTCCAGCCCCCTGATCATCTTCGTGGCCTCCTCTGGACCCACTCGAGCAAGTCTGTGTCCTTCTTATGTTGGGGGCTCCACAGCTGGACACAGCACTGCAGGAGGATCTCATGAGAACAGAGTAGAGGGGGAGAATCCCTTCCCTTGACCTGCTGGCCACAATTCTCTTGATGCAGCTCAGGATACGGTTGGCTTTCTGGGCTGTGAGCACACACTGTGGACTCACAGTTAGTTTTCCATCCACTAATACTCCCAAGTCCTTCTCCACAGGGCTTCTCCCAATCCACTCATGACTCAGTGTGTATTTGTGAATGGGATTTCCTCGACACATGTGCAGGATCTTGCACTTGGCCTTGTTGAATTTCATGACGTTTGTATGGACCCACCTCTCAAGGCTGTCCAAGTTCCTACGGATGGCCTCCCTTCCCTCCAGCATGTTGACAGCACCACACAGCTTGGTGTCGTGGGCAGACTTGCTGAGGGTGCACTCAATCCCACTGTCCATATCACCAACAAAGATGTTGAATAGCACCTGGTACCAATACTGACCCCTGAGGAATGCCACTTGCCACCACTCTCCACTTGGACATCAAGCCTTTGACCGCACTTCTTTGAGTGCGACCATCCATCCAATTCCTTATCCACTGAGTGGTCCATCATTTAAATCCATGTCTCTCCAATTTAGAGACAAGGGTGTCATGTAGGACAGTGTCAGATGCTTTGCACAAATCCAGGCAGATGACATCAGTTGCTTTTCCCTTAACCACCAATGCTGTAAGCCCATTGTAGAAGGCCAGCAAATTTGTCAGGCACAATTTGCCCTTAGTGAAGCCATGTTGGCTGTCACCAATCACATCCTTATTTCCCATGTGCCCCAGCATATTTTCCAGGAGGATCTGCTCTTTGATCTTGCCAGGCACAGAGATGACACTGACTGGTCTAGAGTTCCCTGAGTCCTCTTTATTTCCCTTTTTAAAAATGTGGGGTTTTCACCACATTTTTCCAGTCAGCGGAAACTTCACTGGACTGTCACAACTTCTCAGGTATGATGGGTAGTGGCTTAGCCACTTCATCCACAAATTCCCTCAGATCCCTGAAGAGAGGCCAAAGTCTGCTCACCTAAAATCCAGGGTAGCATATCTGCTACGCTCTGTTCTCATTGTCTTAAGGATCGTGAACTCCGCCATTTCATGGTCACTGCAGCCAAGTCTACTCTTGAGTTTCACAGTCCCCACTAGCCCCTCCTCGTTGGTGAGAACAAGGTCCACCACAGCAGCTGTCTTTGTTGGCTTCTCCACCACTTTGACAAGGAAGTTATCATTAATGCATTTCAGGAACCTTATGGATTGCTTATGCACTGCACTGTTGTCCTTCCAACAGATATTGGGGTGGCTGAAGCCCCCCATGAGAACCAGGGCTTGTGAATGTGAGGCTGCTCTTGTCTGTCTATAGAGGGCCTAATCCGCTCAGTTTATCTGCTCAGGTGGCCTGTAGCAGACACACACTATAACTTTTATTGTACTTGCCTTTCCTTTAATTCTGACCCATAACCTCCCACTTAGCTCTTCTTCCAACCCCAGGCAGAGCTCCACGCACTCTAGCTGGTCATTGACATAGAGGGAAATACTCCCCCTCTCCCCATCTCTCCTGCCTGTCCTTCCGAAAGAGCCTGTGTCCTTCCAGTCCAACACTCCAGTCATAGGAGCCATCCTACCATGTCTCTATGATTTCAGTAAGATCGTAGCCCTGCAGGTGTGCATGCATCTCTAGCTCCTCTTGTTTATTCCCCATGCTACCTGTGTTTGCACAGAGGCATATTCTCCATCTTAAGTGTGGTGCAGCATTGGAACAGGTTGCGGATTCTCCATCCTTGCTGACATTTTCAAAATTCAGCCGGACAAGGCTCTGAGCAATCTGATTAGCTTTGAAGTTAGATCCACTTGCTAAATTTCAACATAATTTTATCCATGATCTTAACTGGGAAGGTGTAAACTCAATAAGGACATTTATTTAAAAAAATGAACAGCTTCAGGTACATTAATTCTTATATCTAAGCAGGTGTATTCTCACTTTATTTATTATTTAGACACATTGAATGACCTATGTTTATTTATTACTTTTTTTAGTTAATATCTAATCTGTGACAAGCTGTATTTGTATGGAAAATGCAATCTTACTAAAATGCCCAAAAAAGCATTCTGAAAGAGGATTTATTCATTAAATGAAGCTTTGCTCTGCTGATGACTTTCAGCAATTCATTATTTTTATATACTTCAACATAGTAGCAACAAGTACATGCAATTTGCATTTCAACTGATATAATTTATATTATTGAAAACATTTTTATTTCAAAAAATCATTTACATTAATAACAAAAGTAGGCAATCAAATTCATTCATGATGTTTCACACACCTTTTTTTGTAGTTTTTTTTTGAATGGACTAAAATCCAGCTCTCTATTTTGTGGGAGTTTATTCTAGCTTGCTGTGTACAAGGGCTGAGGATGGCAGGGAACAGAATGAGACAAAGCAATATGCTGAAGGTCAGAGAGCAGGAGGTGAAGAGGAGATCCAGAAATGGAATTCAGATTTTCTGTGGACAAACAATGTCAGACCATGTGGTGCCAGGAGTAAATGTTATGGGATCATGCACCTTTAAAATCTTCTTTTTTTTTTTTTTAAAAAACCCAGCAATTTGTATATAAAAGTTAAACTTTATAAAATTCCTTTTGGTTTCAACCTAGCTATTCTTTACGTAAAAGAGGTGCTCTTTTCAGATGGGTTGACGGCATCTCTCCCCTCTGTGAAGGACAAGCCCACACCCCAGCCAACTGTGTGCTCTTGAGGAATCCCTCCAAAGCTGAGAGGTCTGATGACAACACGTTTTGTTCATGCTGTGTGCTCTGGTGGACAAGATCCAGGCAACATGGAGCTTCCAGGTGACACGGCAGCTGCTTCCAACAGCCTCCCCAGGCTTTCCCATAGCACTGCCCTCTCACTTGTTTCTGCAACGAGGTACTGCCACCTCAAGACATGCAGCTGCTGTTCCCACAGTGCACAAACTGACCTGAGGTGCCTTTTTCCCCTCCCTGCTCTCACCGCTATGTTCTTCTCTTCAGAAAATCCTGAGCTTGGCTGCTGAGGGAGCCACAGCATGTGAGAGCTGGAGGGCGAGAGAAAAGGAGAGCAGACACGGGCCAAGAACTGCCTCCAGCCCCACTTGGTAATGCCATGTGTCACCTCACTGAGCACCCCACTTCAGCCCCACTGCCCTCCTTGCCAGGTTTCTTGCTCCAAGATGAACATAGGAACACAGAAGAAAGAGAAGCGATAAGGGAAATAGAGGCAGAGAACAAAGAGGAGAAGGAGAGACGGGAAGGTGGAACAACCCTTGCTTTCCAGGTGCTGCAGAAAGCTCTCAGTGTGACCAGCTTCCCTTGCAGGGAGCTCCAGCTCCCTATGCCCAGCAAAGTGAGGTACTGCTTCAAGCTGGGGATCAGGCATCAGAGCCCTGGCCTTGAAACAGCAGCCATCAAAACTTGCAACACTGATTGGTACTCAGGAGACATGACAGCAAAATGAGCAAGATGCACCATTGTGTGGGAAGTGACTGCAGGCCATCTAACTCTAACTCCAGGTCAGAAGAGTTTATGAAAATCAGCCACAAACTCTTGATCGCGTGTCTAAAATGGGATTCTGTCAGCTTTCTTTGTGGCTAGTCCAGCTTTGTGAGAAACAGACCTGGCTAGAGATATATATAAAACCATTTCCCCAGCTTACAAGAGAAGGCAACATTCAGAGACCAGCACCACAGCACCATGACAATTCAGGTTGGAATGGCAGGGGAGATAAATCTGTGTATGGGATAAAGGCTAATGAAGATGGGGAAGTCTGTCTGCAGACTCCAATACTGTAAGAAAAGGGAAGAATAAACTGAATTAGAAAAAGTCGATGGCATATATTGTACTCTGCTCACACAGATGGTAGAACATGCCAATAGAGGGACAATGCAAAGGCCAAGAGCTTGACCCAGAGTAGGGTTGGGCCTGTGTAGATGGGAGAAACATCTACAGTCACTAGGGCTGAGGCTGTTTTCATTATAACAGTCTGAGACAGGGCCACCACAGCATTAGCTAGGAAGGAGCATTGATTCTAGGGAATAGTGCTGTGCAATAACCTGCATTGTGTGGTTTAGTCCTGAAGAACGATGGAATGCTGTCAGAGGCAGTTTAATGGGTATTTTGGGCCACAGCCACTTTTGTTCTAGGAATACCATCTAAATGCAGACTTGACTGCTTGCACATGAAGACACTGCCTAGAGTCGCCCATGCGCCCAGTGCTCCATCTTTTTGACCAAAATATGATGTACAGTCAGTGCCTAATGAAACTATGCAAAAGTCAAAAATTCAATGAAAGAGAAACTTTCTTAATACTCTTGGCTTAGATGTGTAATTTTTAATGCAGTCTTTCAGTTATTCCCATTACTGAGTTAAACGCCTTTAGTGAACAAATTCTTCTTTGCTTATGAGATGATTTATCACAGCTCTTCTCTTATTTCAGCCACCTTACCATTTTACTTGGAGATGATAATTCTCCATGAGCAAGTCATGAAACATGCACAGTGAAAAGATGTGTTCTCAGCACAGATCTCATGGGCTGGGAGGTGTTATCTCTGTTCTCAGCAGCTATCGATTGTGAGGAAAATCTAGCACAGCTATCCATGGGAAAAAAAATGGTGAAGATAATTTTCTGTATCTCCAGAAAAAGTAATGACCTCCCAGGAAGATCTGTGATTTGTGACTTAAGGGAGGGTGGTAGCGGAGGACTGGGCTAGCAGGGAGCAAAAAGGTCCAAATGACAGACTCGGGCTGGAGTCAAATCTGCCCACAAATCTGGAGGAAATACAGCTAGAGACAAATAAACCCAAACACATGAGAGTTGCCAAGAATAACAGGAAAAAAATTTTTGTTTAATATTTTTGTGTGCATTATATGGACTCTAGCATTAAAATAGTATTCTACTGGAAAGGAGCACCTCTTCCTGTTCCTGCTGAAAGCAAGCAACAGAAAGGCTTCTAACCATTCCCCAAACTGTATGAATGTTAAATCTCTATATACTGTACAGTAGCTATGTTATACAGTTATATATCTCTATCTCTATCAGTTTACATTCAACTCTAAATACAGAGTGGAGACTTGGCCTAGTCCAATTTCTGAGAGCTCCCTCTAACATCGCAGTTCCATCCTACCTTTCTCCACATAGGAAAATTCCACAGGCATCCCAGCATAGAAGTCAGTGGCTGCCAGTGGCTTGAATGTCTTTGAGATCAAGCTCTCAGTGCCCTCCTCTCTACGGAAACGTGCACATTCTCAATACAGAGAAATTCCTCCTCCATCCCTAGTCTCATGAGCCTTGAGTACCCAAGAGGAGCATCATCCTCTGTGTAGGGGTGCGATGCCCCTACGTAGAGGATAAAATTCCAGTCAACGCATAACTTGGAATTCTTTCTCCTGTATACTAGGTTAATATAGAGAGATTTAGCCCATATATGGCTAATTTTGACCTTATATGGAATAAAGCTGTGTCTGCACAGGAGGTCTTCCCCTACACAAAGGATGTAACCAGCTTTTTGCTGCATATAGCAGAAATCTGAGTCCTGGGGAGAGGATCATACCCTGCTCTGCTCTCTTTTTTTTGGACATGTCTGCCTCTGTGCAGCACTGTCCCCTATATTGTCTGACCCTGGCTCTGTGCAGCAGACCAGTGCTCCTGCAAGGCCAAACAGTACTCAGTTCAGCAGCAGAGTATATTGTGTGGCAGGGGTGAATGCCTACTCTGTCAAACTGGCTTTCTGTTAATTGGGAACAACACTTCAGAGATCTTAGAAACAGAGTCTTGCTGATCTGCTGAAGTCTGCTAAGCAGCTCATCTCCAGTGCCCCACACAATCATGCCACTAAGAATCACACAGAGTGATTAATATACTTCAGACATCTTTTCCCCATTTACCCTACCCAGTCTTATAGTGAAAACTGCCCACACACCTGGAAATGTTCTCCCTGTATCTGTAAAACTAAGTTCTCGAGCAGACCACGGACATCCAGTGCTACTAGAGCGAATTCTTTTCCCCAGGTTGGCCTGCCTCTATAAGTGCTCATACCTGCAGATACATTTACCTCCACACCAGCACCTGGCTCTGTGCCAGCACAGCCAGAGAACCTGCAGGAAAACCCAGGGTTCCCCGATAGCGATTATTCTCCCACACCCCATGCCAATTTGTGACTCCTTTCTGCTTTATGCAGCATCTCTCAGGTCAGGATGTAGAAACTCAAGTGGAGATATTGAAAGGAGGCTCAGCAACTGGAGAGTGCGGAGGTAGCCAGGCCAGAACAGGTCACTAGGACAAGCTAATTCATTGCAAGTTCCCAGTACTGCAAGGACACACAGGTTCTTCATTGGTTCTCTTGGGCTTAGGAGTTGTGACAGCCATACTGACTGCTCCCTGGAACTTGCCTGGAATGGGCATCAAGAGATTTCTTCAGTGGGAGCAACAGAATGAGGGAGAGGAGACGAGGGAGAGGAAGAGGCAGCAGTCTGTTCCAACATAATCTTGAGAAAAATATAATGCCATACTAAATCCAGAATTCTTCTTTTTGGTAGCAGTTGTGTGTGAGGGAGGCAATGGGCTTGAGACAAAGAACTTCCCAGAGGTAGTTATAAATGATCTGCTGACATACAGGGACAATGAGGTTTGCCTTGGGTTGAGGACAGCTCATCTCTCAGTTCTGTCACTTTTCTGAGGCCAGCAGACACAGGAGCAGGCTGTGCTATGACACAGCAAACTCACTGGCTCGGGAGGACCGGAGAGGCTCAGGCTGACTACATCATACTGATGCCATGCAAGAAACCTAGGCCAGGAGTCCTAGGGCATAAAAAGGTTTGCACTCTTCCACCTATGACGCAGTTTAGGGCATCTGTACCACTAGAGACGACTAAATCTTGTTCCCATGTCTGTCTCTTCAGGGGCAAAGTAAGAGAAGATGCAGGACATTTATAAGGACCTCTGGGAAATGAGCAGTTGGTGGCCTCTCAAACAGTTTGGGAAAAAAGAGGGGAGCATCCCATATCCTCAGCAACAGATTCAGAAGATGACAACAGCCACCATGACAGACTAGCAGAGAGAGGACTCTGTGTACTGCAGCACCTGAAGAAGAGGATGTGGGGGAAGGCAGACAAGCAAGGAAACGGTGGGGAAATCACAAAAAAGAAGGACTTGTCTTGGGCTGTAGATAGTGGATGATGATTTCTCTTCTTTCCCTTCCTTTTTCTCTCCTACTGTTGGTAGCTCACAGAGCATCAGGCCTTCTGCGCTGCTGCTCCAGGAGTTGTCTGCAAGGGAGAGGCAGCGGTTGCCCAGATCGGCGGAGACGTCGAGAAGGAAGGCCAGCCAGCTGGCGACAGATCTCATCTGAAGACATAGCAGACACACACAGGTTGACAGATAATCAAAGCTTCCTTCAAATCCTTCATCACCAGAGGTACATCCTTCACTGCATCAACAAAAACTGTTGGAACTGCTGAATCCTTGGATATATGAGGCAAGTGAACAAGTCCTTAGGCTTTCATTAATTTCCCTCTGGTTTTATTCATGTACAATACATATTAAAATCACTCATATTTTGCTGCCACAAAGACTGCAAAAGAAATCTAGACTGGATCCTGTTTCTATTAATGAATAGAAATAATGAGAGTTACTCTTTAACCTCAAAGGAATGCAACTTTGAGTAAGGGTGTGTTTGGGTCTAGTAGCGTGTGATCAAGATTCAGGAAGGTAGAGCTCTCATACTTCTTGGTAGTACTTCCCAGTGTTTTTCATGGCACGCGTACTGGATGCAAGGCTGCATTGCATCAGAGTTCCCCCAAACTACATATGGATTGGGGCTGGGTGATTAGTTAGCTTGGAGACTCTATCAGATGGCTGCAACTCTTCTTCTAGGCTATCTTGTGCTATCACTCACCTTGCATGACCTCATTCTCCTTGCAGACAATGCGAGAGCACACCTCCTTGTTTATTATGTACATGCGACGCACACTGAAGGATCACCAGGAACACGCCAAGGACAGCAGTGAAAGGCACAGGGACCCAAAGAAACAAAAAAGGGATACAGGCAATAAACATGTATATTCACTGTTGATGAGGCAAATACTAAATTTTTAGGATTAGCTAGTGTAGAATAAGGCTGCTGTCAATAGGAAAGTAACCTTTGTCAAGACTTCATGAACTGGCCAAATAACTTAAAAATTATTACAATATAGGGCACATTACAGCTCCTTAGTGCTACACAGATAATAGTTATTGTGCCCTTTTAATTAATCTCCCTAAAAGGACACTCTAAGGACAGGATTCATCTCATCAACTGGTTCCTCGATGAAACCTCTAGTCTTCAAAGGAAACAACTTCTGAACTGGACATGTTGTTTCTGGGGATTTTTAGGGCTTTTCTTAGGGATTGCTGGTTTCTTACCTTGTAACACAGAGGTAGCTGATACATTGCTTCACTGGTTTGTGAACAGAGTAGAGGCGTGTGCAAGGGAACTTTTCTTCACGACAATCTGGGAAAACACACACACACATGGGTACAATCCAGCATCATTGGCAGGTGCACTCATTCTGGCACACATATAACCTCATCGCTAGCTACTGTCCTCCAGGCTTCTAGGAAAGGCCCCTACCCTCTATTTTCCACTCTCTTGTGAGAGATGGGGGATGGCTGAGAGAAGAGGAAGTCAAGGCAGACACTTCTGATCCCCTTGCCTCATAAGACAAAAGTACCGGAAAGTTGAGCGAAATGCAAAACAAGCCCATTGGGAATCCTCAATACAGAAGGCACATGCTGTAAAGGGGACAGACACAAATAAACAAAATGTAAATTGTAGTTGCACGTTTTAAGATGTGTTTCTAATAGATCTGCAATCTCACACTTCAGGATAAGAATATAGTTTCTTTCTTTTCTGGACAATCAACCCCGTAGCTAACTATGATGGGTTTTCTTGCATTTCCTTCTGAAAATGGTCTTGGCCACTAACCATGACAGAATATTGACCCAGTGTATCTGGTTTGGTGATCTGTCAGTTCCTCCCCTCCCAGGCAGGCCATCCAGGGGAAGTCTTCAGCTTCCACTACCGTCATTCTCCAGTACTTCTAACTCAAGGAACAGGGTGAAGGGAATTTTCCAGGAAACAAAGCTCAGTGCCCAGCCAGCACCTGCCTGAAGAGTTAACAGGGTCGGTGAAAGTGGGTCTGGGAGTGGGGTGCAGGCAGCAAACTTAAACATACCTGATGAAGCTGTTGTAGTTTCGCTGTCAGACTGAACTGGAAGACAGAGGGTAGCAAAGTTAGTGTGATTTTCCTAGACATCAGCTTACACAAAAAACAAACAAACAAACAAAAAAAAAAAAAACAACAGAAAAAAACCTGGAAAGCTCTTTCAGGATCCCACCATTATAACTTCTAGTATTGTTACTGACGTGAAACCGTAAGAGAAGGTACAAATACAATATGAATCTAGTGCCATCTACCCAGTCAACAATGCTAAGAATCTGTCCAAGCTTTACCATAAAGCATTACCACTACTGCTCAAAATTACACTGTAAGGGCATCTTGACTTATAATCCAAAAGGTCAGGTAAATTTATTTAGTTGATGTAATTGCCATCCATCTAAGCAAAGGAGCCTGTGACTGCCTTTTACCAAGGAACAGTGACTCCTTTAAGGAACAGTATCCCCAGACTGCTGGTTAATTAATGTCCATGACAAGGGGTCAAAAGGTGGTTGGTTTGTTGTTCCCACTGTACCACAGTAAACCAGTACATTTTATTATTTATCCAGTGACAAACTGGAAAGGAACTCAGAGGACTGCCAGGCACAAGTTTTCATCAACAGTTATAGAGGATTTCTGTTCACGTGCCATAGTGTCAGCCAGAAGCACAGACAAAACACACGAGCATGGACAGAAGGAGTCTTCTGGGCATCAGGGATGCGATTAGGGGCAGTGAGGGAAGGCAGGATTCTAGGTGTGCAAGGGGCTGAGCAAGGAGAGGGAAGGGGGGTCCACAACATTTAGCTGTGAACTGAGAATAAACTCACCAGGACTAAGAAGCACAGGTGGTGTGACAGCTGCAGCTGGAAAAAGAGAAGATGTTCTGAGAGATCTTAATTTGAGCTTTCAGCCTCTTTCCCTCGCCCACAGTTCTGCTGATGGCTCACCACTCCTCAGCAGTAGTCACCCAGCATCTGGTTCATCGACAACGCTGATTGCGATGTTGTTATCAGATTTGTCACAGTAACTGCAGGATTTCCCTGCAAATATTCTGAGTGTCCTAGAGCTGATGGGATGCTGTAGAGCATAGATGGGTCCTACGGCATGTCCTTTGTGAAGAGTTTCTTCTTGATCCCTCAACAATAAGAATTTTGAAGCTGAAGTCTGCTGTAAAGGCTTCACATTTAGTCTTTTCAGATTTCGATGTAGGTTAGCCACAGACAGTCTGGTCTGGACACCGAGTCTTATCTACCCTCCCACAGACTGTCAGGTCTCACACAGTGAACATGAGACTGACATGGGTTGCTTTCACCTCCCATCCCCACCAGCAAGATCATGCACCTTGCATATACAATATTGTGCTTCCACTTCTCTCCTCCAGTGTTGTCCCATGACAGCTGGTCAGCTTGACCCACAATACTCTAACCAGCTGATAAGCAGAGTCACAGGACAGAGGAGAGACCATGGAACTTCTGGCCTGGAGAACGGGACACCACTCTCAGATGAGCTCTCCTACACACACAGCACACTCCCCGGCAACAGCCAAGTGCTGCTGCCTCTTCCTTTGTCTTTTGAACCATATCATCGACCAGATGTGTTCTCCCTCTCCCCTGCTCTGCCCGGTTCCCCCCACCTCTGAGGGATGTGTTTGAGAGACTGCCCCAGCAGAGAGAGAAACGATTGCTGAGGCCGATGGTGCCAGATTCGAAACAGGACTCTTACGGAAAAAGTTGGGAGGCTCCTTCTTGAGCCTCTGGCCCTCTCTTCCATTCCCCATTGTGAATCCAGCAGGATTAGACTATCTTGTAAATGCCTACACTCCCATCAGCTCTATGTCCTTCCCCTGAGTTACCTCCATACCGAGACTTGACTCTCTAAGGAGGCACACTGCATGCTACAGGTGCCCATCTTCAACTGCCCTCCATCTACCCAATCTTTCACATACATTTTGCTGCTCCCCAGCAATCTCGCTGCAGGCATGGCAGGAAAGACAGAACTAAAGTAACAGTATTTCCACCTCCCCATCCCACCACTGCTCAGAGTTTGCTTTACTCCCGTCTTTTGGGTTTTTTGCCATTTCTGCCTCCTGAGCATGATCGCTAGATGTCAGCAGATACGGGCACAACCTGTGTCCCAGTGCTGTCCAGTTAACTTATGAACCCGACCAATTTATCTTCCTCGTCATTTAGTCTCTTCCTTCCCGCAACCTTCTCTGCAAGCCCAGGCTGCATGAGCTTCAGATTTCATGGCTTCCTTCAGTGCAAACAGCTTCAGAAAGCCCTGGTACACCAGGTGAGATTGGCAATTCCTTGGACAACAGGCCATTAAGCCGTCCCAAATTCATCTCCCTGCACAGAGCACAGAAAGGACTCCCAGACATCCCTAAACACTGGAAGAGCACTGCTATATGTCAAAAGTGGGGAAGAGGAGTTTCTGAGCATAATGAGTAATTTCTGGGACTATGTAGGCAGGAGTAAAGGTGAAAAGGGGAAAAGAAGTCTGAAGTTGCTAAGAGATAGGAGCTTACCAGAGGTGCTGATAAGAGAGCCGGTGCTAACTTCACCTGAAAAAGAGAGAAGGTCCTTGAGAGAGCTTGTTTTTACTTTGTGGCCCGTTGCAGAGCTAGCCATAGCTAGCTGGAATTACCTTGGCCGTCATGGTAAGCACATGAAATAGTAGGATCCAATCCAGTAAACACATAAACAAACACAGTACCCCCATTCCATCCATATCCATCCCCCCTTTCAATGACTGCCCTGGGACTGGATTTCTTGATGTATATTGCATTAACTCTTACTGAACTCTGGATTCATATTCTGACTTCTCAGATATGGCAACTGTGGGCATCTTGATGGAAAAGACAGACATCTGAAATGAAGGCGCTGATGGCTCCCACAGCAGTAGGACAGACAGCTGAGGCACCCGCTGCAGAGAAGGAGGGAGGCAGCTCCATAACCCAACCTTGACTGCAGAAATTCATCAGCAGATGAGTTTATTTGAAAGGCAACTGATGGCAGAGCTGGAGTAGGTGCGATGGAGGGATAAAGTGTGAAGGAAAGGGAAGCTGGGTCGACACATTTTGGACTGGCTTCTGAATAGCATTCTGGGAAGCCCCAGATATTGCACATGACATCAGAGCTGGGACATGTCTGATGGCTTAGCCAGGGGCTTCAGTGTGAAGAATAGGCAGACCCTTGGGGTCCTTCTGGGTGCTGAAGTGTGATGCAAACATACGTTTGTTTTAGCTTATCGTGTCACAAAAATGTAAAAAGGTCCAGAGGGTGAGAGCAATTCACCTCCAACAACATGGCCAGTATGAAGACCAGTCAACACCCCTTCTCAGTGGCTTCACTGCTAAAGCACCATCCCACTTGTGCATCCTTTTCCTTGGGATTTTCCTGAGCAGCATTAGAGTTCCCTGAAGAGTTATCAGCTCCTGTGGATCTCCCACTCCCTTGACTGTGAACATAACTTCATGCACTTCAGCTAAGTGTTCAGGACCCCAACACCAGTGAATTATTTGTAAAGAAGACACAACACTTAGCAGGTTGTCTTGGAGGGCTTGTTTAATCTTCACTGAAAGGCAAGCTCACAATATTAGCAGCAAGGAAACAAAGAACAGCATCTGCAGTTAAGCTGGCTGTAACTGCCTGGGACAACTGGGTTACATGAGCAGCCTTTAGCACATAACATGCCTGTAATACTTACCAGTTGCACTTTCTGGTTCTTGCCCATTGACCACCCACGGAAACCAGTCTGCAAGAGAAGAGAGCGGCATGAAAAAAGGACAGAGAGAGGGATTTCTATACTCTGCAGGCTTTGTGAAATTTTTATGAGAGGCCTATCTGTCCAGGAGACACCACTGCCCTCTGCTGAAAGGAGAAAAGCTCTCCTCTCAGCCTCCACTGATGGCTGGGTTTGTTCTTTGAAGACTTGTGCACACAGTGAGTCCTGATCCCATCCTTGCTTCTTCCACCAGGGTCAAAGGCTAGGCACAGGGACGAGATAGTAAATACATCCACATCTGCTACTGGACTTCACATTTCTGAAGCCCCAGTTGATACATTTTGAAAACAAATTGCATGTTGCCTCCCTGCTCTGGAGGCTGGTCAAAATCCCTATCCCCTTTTTGTAAGAGGAAACTGAGTCATGAAAATTATTTGCTTGGGGTCACAGATTGAGTCATCAGCACAGTAAGAAACCGATTGAAGATCTTGTAGCTCCTCAGGCAAATAATTATCTGGTCCCTCACCCTGCCTGGCTATGGAGCACAGAGCAGATCTTTCCTCTCTCAGCCCTTGGGCGCACTGGAGAGGGAGAACAGTGAAGGCTTGCCTGTGCGTGCTGTGCAGAAGAGGAGAAATTGAATCTGAGCAACTCTTCGTTTGTCCAGATATAAAGTCTGAGAGAGCTGCTTCCTACAGCAGCCAGGAATACGAAAATATTTCCTGCTAGCCACAGAGGAGGGAAATGTCTCTGCAAAACTGGGGTGGGATGAAGGAAGGAGTTGGCAGGAAAAACACAGCGATCTGGGGCACTGCAGGGATGTGTGCAAGACCAGCCCAAAAACTAGTACACCCTGCTACGTCATAGGAACTCAGCCTTCAGCTTTCTGGTGATGGGAGCGCTGCATGGGTAAAAACTCTCAGGTCTGGAGCTTCTGTCTTAATTCTTCCTCATTCCAAGAGCAGTTACTCGAAGGCTGCAGAGGGACTCTTGGGAGCTCTATATAATCCTGCTTCGCAGCGTTACAGGAGTCACCGGGCCCCGCTATTCCGTTCCCCACCCAGCTGCCAGCAAGGGTGCAGCTGCTGGTGGCTGACCCAGGGAGAGCCAGACACGTATCACAGCTTAAGTGAACAATGTAGTGCAGCCCCAAACTTTCCCTGTTCTGGCTAATCTCTTAACGGTAACAACTACAAGAGGAAAAAATATATTGAACACTTTCTGATTGTTTCTGATACAAAAGGAAGGACACAAATTCTGAAACCATTGCAAGGGCCAGCAGTGCCAGATTTGAAACAGGAGTCATATGGAAAAAGAGGGGAGGCTTTCCTCCTTTTTCTAACATTGAAAAGTCAGCTCTTACAAGCTTTTTTTTTTTTTTTTTTTTTTTCCCTCCCTAGGAGATAACTAGAAAACTGGTCCAATTCTAAAACAATTCTAAACACAAGTTGAGTGAAACCTCTGTGTATGAGGAGACAAAAGAGGCAATTTTCTTATCAGATTTTCAATCACTTGAATTTATATTTGCTATGGTACCCAATTCATATGCTTTATAAATTGTACTGTGTTGTCCAAGTTGCAATAAATTCATCCTGGAGGTCTGACAGAACTAGAACCCTAATTCACTGAATCTGTAGCTCACCTAAAACTGAAAAAGACAATGACAGACCAGTTAGCAATTCCTGTTGTTTTCCATATTAAAACAACAACAAAAAAACCCCACAGAAATGCTAAAACAAAATACACAAAAGTAAGAAATATTCTTCTCAGGCCTCCTTCATGCATCATAAAAACGGCAGCCTTTTTTTTTTTTTTTTCCTCTATAGGCCACATACAAACTCCTCTCTTGGATGCCTCACTGATTTATAGTAACAAACATGACCTCTGCTGTGCACCTTCACAGGAAAAAGTGGTATTGGGAGGAGAATCAAGTTTCAGCATGAGAGGAAGACTGAGAAGATTGGGTTAGATAGGTGTAGTCATCTGTCTCCTACATGCAGTCTTTCCTGGGTGAAGCTTTCTCCATTCACTGGAATTAATCTTTTGCTGCCTGTTCTGAGTCTTCTGACTAGAATGTCTGATGCTGCCCTCTTGTTTTGCTGCTTTTTGTTTTGTTTTGTTTTTTTTTTTAAACAAATTTGAACCTAACTGAATTTTTTCCAAAGTAACTTCAAGCAAAGATGTGGAGCTATGAAACAGAACAACAACAAAAGCAGAGAGTGATTTGAACTACAGAGGTTATGTTTCTCAAATCAGCTATACCAAAAACTACAAGACCTCCCAGTAGCTGAGTTACCTGGAGTGAGGTCATTCCAGCAGGAACCACTAGTGACAGCAAATACTTCACAGCTATGACAGACAAGTTTTGTGGAACACTGGGAAATGCTCTGCAGATTGTGCAGAGGTGGTACAGCAGTCTATAGTAAATACAGAGCACAGCTAACCCTCTTTCACAACTTGACCTGGCTGTTTTGCTTATCCAAACATCCCTCCAGTGGAGGCTGTGGACCACTGTCTCTTGCCACTCCCAGTACTTAATGGACAGTGGACACATCTGGGAACCAGTCACCAGTTCCTAAATTTCTCCTTACACCTCTATAACAACCTTGCTTTTCCTGTTCGCTCCCCCCCCCTTCACTCTCCATCTACATGTCTCTGTCTGTCTCCTTAGGTCATTGCACATTAGTCTGCATAGGAAACTCCATGGGGATGGGATGGAGAAGAAATCCTCTCCCTGACATTAGGACTTACCAGCTGGGGACAGGGACAGTGCTAAGAGACACAACAGTACACAGGCTCCAGAGGTCTTCATCCCTGTGGCGTGGAGGAAAGAGGCGTCAGAGGGAAGCTAAGGCAGGAACAGGGATACCCTCCCCTATAGCACAGAAGCTCTTTGCTTGCTGCCTCCTTTTCCCTCTCAAGACCATTTAGTCTTCCCAGCCTCCCTCCCACCTGTCTGTCTCCTAATATGGCCAGTTTTCCAGGTGTTTCTGAAACATTTTGGACCGAACATATTACTCCATCTGCTTGCTTTCTTTTTCCGCCTCCTTTCTCCAGTCTCCATCCCTTTTCTCATCCAGGTGGCTAAGCCCTCCTACACACACATCCCCAGCATGCAAAGAAAAGTTTCCCCTCGTTATCTCCCTCCACTCTCTTCTACTTTTAAATGAACTTGAGGAGCACTGAGAGAAGAGGTAGGGTCCCCATCACTTACTGCAGCCCTCTGTCTCCGCTCCCTTCAGCAGCAGACGCTCTGTCCTTCTCCTTCAGCGGTTCCCCCCACTTTGGCTATTGGGTAAATCACATGCAGCCACACCCAGAACACGTTCTACTTTTGGTTGTCCTCAAAATACGATTTTTGGGGAAAGAGAGAAAAAAAAAAAAAAAAAAAAGAGAGAAAGAAAAAGAAGCCAGCGAGATGGTGGGACGTGGTGTCATCATGCATGTGGAATGAGGGGGGGGGAAGGGGAGAGGCGCAGCAGCCCACACCCTCATTCCAGAGTTTATTATCCTCCGAAGGGAGCCCGCTCCTCCCATTCCCCCAGGACGGCCCAGCACCGGGGACGGATTCTCGTGTCTCCATTACACATCGTGTCCCGTTTCAGCTTGCCCTCCCACGCGGCCCCTCTTCCCCGGACGCCGCTACACCCAGCCGCGTTTCCCCACTCAGCTGCTGCCTCTTTCCACCCCGGTCCCTTGGTCGTCCCGTTTTCCTGTTCGCCCCTCCGCCCTCTCGCACACGGACACTCTGCGGGGCGCACGTCTGGGTTTGCCTAAACGACGTGCTCGGCTTGCCACGGTGCCGGGACGAGCTCTCCCCTCAACACCCCCCCACACACACCCACCCCCCCCCGGTCCCCCCCCAGGCTGCCGCGCTCCGGACACGCGGCCCACCCGGCACGCCCCGCAAGCGATGCTCCCCCAGCCGCCACGGAGCCTCGGCGGGAAAGCGCCGGGGGGGGGGGGGGGGAAGCGGGGGGGGGGGGGGGGGGGCACCGGCGCCCCGCGGGCAGATGGCAGGCCGGCAGCCAGCCAATCGGCTGGCAGCAACAGCGATGACATCACCGCGCGCTGCCCCTCGCCCGGGCGGGCGGCTGGAACCTCCCGGCGGGATGGGGATCAGCCCCCCCCCCCCCCCCCCCCCGGGACCGGAGTGGTGTGCGGGGGGGGGGGGGGGGGGCGGAACGGGAACGGGGGTCAGTTCTGCAACGCTGTTGCCGTTCTGGCCAGTCTGAGAAAAGTCGCGGGGGGGGGGGGGGGAACAGGGAAAATGTGTGCCAAAATAAAAAAAAAAAAAAGTAGGAAAATGGGAGAGACATAAACTGAGGAAGGAAGAGGAAGAAGGAGATCTGACACTCGCTGCCATCCTTCGGGCTCCTTTGTGCCTCCAAGCGCGCTGCATTTTGTAAGCGAGGGAGGGGCAAGCCCCTGGAATCCCCAGGAGTAGCCGCTCTCCCCTCACCCTCCCTCCACCAGCCCCAGGATTCCCGTCTCCTGTTGCTTTCTCGGAGACTTATTTTCACATTGCTGCTTCTGGAATTCCACCCAAGGGTCTGAGGAGGCACTGGCTACACGATGCCCCTTGTATGAGCTCCAAGGCCCAATCCCAGTCGTGAAGCCAAGGAGAAAGCTAAGAAATGACCTGAGCTCCCCCCCTCATACAGCAATAAAAGCTAGAAACTCTGTAGGGGAAAGCTGTGTCCCCTATGGCTAATCTTATGGCAGCTAGGTAATCCTCGTTCTCAACAAATTGCTGACGAGGAATAAAATCCTATAATGCCTTGTACACAGTTACTAAGGAAATCCTTGCAATGTCCTTGCTGCCACAAGAGTCTCAGAAGAGTGCTACTCACCTGTGATGTAACTGAAGCCACCGCTCCTTCCTTAATAGTGCCTGAGCGTTGGTTGTGGCAGTGCTCAAGAGGTCAGATAGAATTACTGCTCCTTCTTTTTTCTGGTCCTCCCAAGACTCATGGGGGGTGGGAAGTATGAGAAGAGGGGTAGAGGAGCTGGGGAAAGCTAGGCATTTTCCTACTCACCTAGGCAGCCCTGTGGACCCAAGCACCATCACCCTGTTTCACTGGAGTGAGACACCACCATTCCCACTTTCAGGGACTGGCTAAAACTCACTCCACCAGAGACACTCAAAAGGTGATTAAACAACCAAAAGAAAGTGATGGAAGTTATAACTGCACACTGGTTTGAGGAATCCTCTCAGATCCTTGGCCTTTTCTGGACATCCATATAGCAGCATGTTTTGGGCTACACCTTTCCACACAGTTTGGTTTGTTTTTTTCCTCTGTGCCTCTGTATTGCCATTCAAGCCTCTGTTACTGCTTAACTGGATAACTAAAATATCTTGAAGAACTTGTATGTTCTGAACACATTTATTTAGAAACTTTAATTGATGCCAAATGTTTCGGTCTAGCAATGTGTTGATGTTACCACCATCTCCCACAGAGCACAGGATTGATTCACCTCTAGTGCTGGGCAAGGTTTCTTCGGATTGCTTTGGAGCTTTAAATCCTTTTTTCAAACTGGAAGACTGTGCCCTCCCACAGATGCTCAGTGAGGGTAGACCGCTTGTGCTAGCAGCACCCCTCCGTTTGGAGAGCTTGGTGCAGATGGGGGGGATGCTCCTGGCGGTGGAATCGCTGTCGGGGAAGCGGGTCAAGTGTTTTTATACACCAGACAAACGGCAGTGAAGTAACTGGAGGTATCCTGCTGCTCTTGCTCGCTGCGGACACCGGAGGGAGCTGCAGCCCACCGGCATGCGAAGCCCCATTGCCCCTCTTGCAGTGCAAGCCTATTATTCCTCAAGAGATCGGACTCCGTGGCTGCAGCCCTCGGTCTGGTATGAAGGCTCTCCTCTCAGCTCTCCTGCTCGTCACTCTACTGGATCTGCAACTGTTTAACCGTTTTGGGACAGAAAAGAATCTTGTTATTTTTTTTTCCCCATCCTTGCACCGTGACATTGACAAAGATAGTTGGACAACCCTCACGGCTGGGAGATACGAGTAATTAACACGCTTCTGCATCTTCCCTTCTTATTCACGTTGCTGTCTTCTGCTTTGCATGCAGCTGTCCTTCTCCAGCACAGGGCATTTTGGGGACATCTGCAACAGATAACTCAAGGTGAAGAACTCTTCCCTCTAAAAAGTCAGGTATTGGTGCCACAGTACGGTGTGAGAGAGAACTGCACTGCAGTAAATAGCATGGGTGATTCATATAGGAAACAGCTCCATACATATATTTCCTTCATCTGTGCTGACCCCAGTGCCTGTAGGTGTTTACCTAACATCAGAAGCAGTGAGTGATTCAGCAAAAAGTTATATTCCTTCCAAGTCGGTACTGATCCCATTATGTTACCAGGGATGTTATAGTGATGGTAGCGTGGCATTTTGGATGACACACAAAATCAGCCTTCCTGCAAATTAAAATCTCCTGGTGCACTTCACCCCAGAGATTACTACATTTCAGCAGACAGGTAAGTGATCATGGGACATACTATTTTTAATGGTCCTGGAGAGGCATCTAAATGCCTCCCTCTCTCTCTTTGTTTCCCTGGCCTTCACATATCCTCATGGTAACTGGGCATGAAGTTACATCTGAGTGATAAGAAATTAGTGAACTGCTGTAAGGTGTTTGAATGTACCGTGTCAATAATACAGTACTACTGGTCATGTGAAGTGGGGCTGAAATCAATTTTCTTGAGACCCACACTGCCGACGGGCTCCATTAACACCTGAAGTCTGACACTATCCTGCGGCTGTTCCACTGGTGTTGCTGGGGTTGTCAGTGGGAAGGGACATGAGATCAAGGCCTGATCCATCTGTCTTCAGTTTTGGGAGGTTCACATCTGACTGTATCCAACCCACTGTGTAAGTGTGAACACTGCAAAGTACAGGAACCTGGACACGATCCACCTCTTTTTGACTGATGATCATGCTTTCTGTTGTTCCATCTAAAATAATAAGGAATCCTTCACCCTTTTATTTCCAAATCAACAAGCCAGTTCTTAGAAGGCGGGCAATCTTGCAGTTACAAAATACCCTAAGGGAGCCCATGAAACTCTAATTAATACTTCCTCAGGTCCTTCAAATCAGTTCAACATTTGTGAAGAACTGAGCACAAAACCAGGCAGTCAGTGAGCTCTTTGGCTCTTTGATTGGCGAGTTGGCCACATGCTTCAGGCTTCTCATGGCCGGGAAGGCTACAGCGAGAAGTTGTCAGGACCTTCCTTCTCTGCTCTTTCTGTAGTTCTTCCTATCACAAATATCCTTCCTTTATGGTTCTTTGTACTGTCTTAGGGCTAATTCTTCCTGGCTGTTTCTCATGTCCCTTGTCACTCCCCTTTCTCCAAGCAGCTGAGCTCAAATACGGCTTCTCTCAGGGCACTTTTTCCAAGACCACTCTCTCAGGGAGACAGGTAACACTTTAGGCTTAATGAACATGTAAATCCCTCCCTGCAAGCCCGGTTACATGTGTCCATAGACTTTGGACCACATAGAAACACTACCTTTAATTCAACTGGTGTGAGTTTTCCATATGGATGAGGCTGTGGCCATGAGTTAAACACCAGGTAGATTCCTCCTTCCCTTCTCCCATCTCTTCTGGACACTACAAACCCCTGGGCATCACAAACCTTGGAGCAAAATCAGCAGGATTAATCCTTCTGTCGCAGTGTGGCGATCGCGCGTTGGAGCAGTAACCAGGGATGGCTAAAGAAGTCACTGCTAGGAAGCAGAGGGGTGTCTTACACCTATGCAGAGGGCTTCAGCAGAGCTGGTCTGGTGGAGATCAAGTCACAGCTGAGCTTTCCAAATACAGTACCTCTCTCACTTGAGGTCCAGCCTTTTGTACCATTTTGCTGTCTTTTAGTAGTCCTCCAAGGTGGAACAGATTTTGGTGGCTTTGCCTACCCTAACAGTCCAAACCCAGGAGTGGTGCCCCCTAGTCCTCCCCACCCCAAGCAGATCAGCTTCAAAAATCACACCCTGAAGGGGCTACTCTGGCATTCAGCATTGCAGCACTGAGGTGTACATCGCTCTGAGATCCTCACACAACCTTGCGAGTCCAGTAGTAGGGCTACAGAGAGCACTGGATATTACAAGATGTGATGAAATTGGGGCAGCTTGCAGTGCCTGAATGGGACACGCTCCGTCAGTTAAAACTGGCATCAGAGGGAGGTAGATGTACAGGTGCATGCATAGAGAGGATGTTTCATGTGCACAGAGAGACCTGGAGCAGGAATAGCAACAAAATATTATATTAATTATATTATATTATATTATATTATATTATATTATATTATATTATATTATATTATATTATATTATATTATATTATATTATATTATATTATATTATATTATATTATTTATATCGTATTATTTATATCATATTATTTTATATTATATTCTAGTATATTATTAGTATATTATATTATATTATATTATATATTATATTTATTATATTATCTATAATATTATAATTATATTATATTTTAAAATAGTATACCTTGTAAGCTTTTAAACATAATTAGGGAAGGGGGCAGAAGTGGCAACTTTAAAAGTGATTTACTTTAAATTCTGTAACATTTAGAAAAAGATGTGTTTTCAAGGCCTTTTTTTAAATTGGCCACATCCAAAATATGCAAGCTGTTAAAGTCCTTCTCAGTGTCAGCCACTGACAGCACTTACCCTGCTTCAGAAAAGATGTAAGAAAGGAGCACACCAATTGCACTGAGCAGAAAAAATGCAAACGATGCTACATGGTAGCAGACAAATTGGTAAGAGTTTATATTGTGGGGAAAATTAGGAAGCACCACCGTTCAG